CTGATACATCACACAGTCCTAGACTGTGGGATTGTTAGCTGCCTTGAGTTCCCCATGGGGAGAAAGTCAATGTAGAAACAATGATGCTGATAATAATAATAATATAATAATAACAATAAATATTATAATAATAATAATTATTATTATCCACGGATACATCACACAGTCCTAGACAATGGAATTGTTAGCTGCCTTGAGTTCCCCATGGGGAGAAAGGCAGTGTGTAGAAATTATGATGCTGATACTACTACTACCACTACATACTAATAATAATAATAATGGGTGGTTGTAGGTTTTTTCGGGCTATATGACCATGTTCTAGAGGCATTCCCTCCTGACCTTTCGGCCATTTTCCTAGTTCCAACTAACCTCACTACCTCTGAGGATGCTTGCCATAGATGCAGGCGAAACGTCAGGAGAGAATGCCTCTAGAACATGGCCATATAGCCCGAAAAACCCTACAACAACCCAGTGATTCCGGCCATGAAAGCCTTTGACAATACTATTATTATTATTATTATTATTATTATTATTATTATTATTATTACTATCCGCTGATACATCACACAGTCCTAGACTATGGGATTGTTAGCTACCTTGAGTTCCCCATGGAGAAAAAAGTCAGTGTATAAACAATGATGCTAATAATAATAATAATAATAATAATAATAATAATAATAATATAATTATCTGCTGATACATCACAGTCCTAGACACTTGGGAAGTGTGATTGAATACAACAGCCAGCAGAGTGACCTTGTTTGCTGTGTACTAATATTTTTGTGTTTCAAATAATAATAGTAATAAAATAATAATCATCATCATCATCATCCAAGTATGGATTGTCAATGTTGCAATCCCAGGTGACAGCAGGATTGAAGAGACACAACTGGAAAAGCTGAAACAATATGAGGATTTAAAGATCAAACTGCAAAGACTCTGGCACAAGCCAGTCAAGGTGGTCCCAGTGGTGATCGGCACACTGGGTGTAGTGCCTAAAGACCTTGGCCTGCACTTATACACAATTGGAGCTGACAAAATTACCATCTGCCGGCTGCAAAAGGCCACCTTACTATGATCTACATGAGTTATTCGCCGATACATCACACAGTCCTAGACACTTGGGAAGGGTCCGACGTGTGATCCAATACAACAGTCAGCAGAGTGATCTTGTTTGCTGTGTACTAATCTTGTTATGTATCTAATAATAATAATAATAATAATAATAATAATAATAATAATAATAATAATAATAGACTTTCAGTCACCTCATAAGACTGCTCAGACTTTCACCAGATTTTCAAAGTTTCCAGCACAGAGAAAAACAGAACTTGCCCGTCGTCTATCCAAGGCATGGGCAAACTTTGGCCGTCCAGGTGTTTTGGACTTCAACTCCCAGCTGTTAGGAATTGTGGTAGCTGAAATCCAAAACACCTGAAGGTTTGTCGTTTAGGAGTTGTAGTTGCTGGGATTTATCGTTCACCTACAATAATGGATGTGGACCAGACTTGCCACAAATACTCAATATACCCAAATATGAACACTGGTGGAGTTTGGGGAAAATAGACTTGACATTTGGGAGTTGTAGTTGCTGGGATTTATAGTTCACCTACAATCAAAGAGCATTCTGAACTCCACCAACGATGGAATTGGACCAAACTTGGCACACAGAACTCCATGACCAACAGAAAATACTGGAAGGGTTTGGTGGGCATTGACCTTGAGTTTTGGAGTTGTAGTTCACCTACATCCAGAGAGCACTGTGGACTCAAACAATGATGGATCTGGACCAAACTTGGCAGAATACTCAATATGCCCAAATGTGAACATTTGTGGAGTTTGGGGAAAATAGACCTTGACATTTGGGAATTGTAGTTGCTAGGATTTATAGTTCACCTACATTCAAAGAGCATTCTGAACCCTACCAACGATAGAATTGGGCCAATCTTGGCACACAAAACTCCCATGACCAACAGAAAATACTGGAAGGGTTTGGTGGGCATTGACCTTGAGTTTTGAGTTGTAGTTCACCTACATCCAGAGAGCACTGTGGACTCAAACAATGATAGATCTGGACCAACTTGGCATGAATACTCAATATGCCCAAATGTGAACACAGGTGGAGTTTGGGGAAAATAGACCTTGACATTTGGGAGTTGTATGGGATTTATAGTTCACCTACAATCAAGAGCATTCTGGCACAAATACTCAATATGCCCAAATGTGAGCACTGGTGGACTTTGGGGAAAACAGACCTTGACATTTGGAATTTGTAGTTGCTGGGATTTATAGTTCACCTACAATCAAAGAGCATTCTGAACCCCACCAATGATAGAATTGGGCCAAACCTCCCACAAAGAACCCTAATACTGTGTTTTCCGATGGTCTTTGGTGACCCCTCTGACACCCCTTTGTGACCCCCTCAGAGGTCCCGACCCCCAGGTTGAGAAATGCTGCCTGAATGAATCAGAGCAGAGTGATGTTGGGACATGGAGACTCGGGAACGCAAGGTATGTCAGGACAGTGTCCTTTGATAACCTCCGCTCCCCTTCCTGCCCTGTCACTCGATCAATCTCCCGCTTATCAGCACCAGCCAATGGCAGTGCAGCCTCTAAATCTATAGCGCTAAGTTCTTTGCATGAGGAGCGGCGAGAGGCTAATTGAATGAGACACGGCAGCACAGGGCAATGCAAGAATAGATTCCGGAATGAGAAAAATGATTAATTCATTTCAAAGACTCCTCTGCAAAGGAGGGCTGTTTGGAGGAAACTGGGAAAGTATAGTGGCCGAAAGTCACAGCTGGAGGTGTGTGTATGTGTGTGTGGAGGGGATAAATGGAAATCTAGACATAGATAGGAATAACAGTCAGGAAGGAAGAATCAAATGGCTCATTATTGCTATTTTTGAAAAGGTCTGCAATGACGAAATGCTTGAAATGTTTTGCCTGGCTGAAAAAGCTGCCCCAATTAGCTGAGCATCAGATACTGGCATTCTCAAATACATTTGCAATCAGAAAACTGCTATTTGAAAGAGGCATTTCTGCTCTTATTTTATAAGCATGCTCAACGCAAAGCTTAAGGCATGTATGTGAAGGCAGGAAACCAAGGATGGAGGACACATGTGGGCACTGGGTTCTACTGTTGTGGTTCTCCAAGCTCGCCCTCGTCTGTTTCCCAAAGTCTCTCAATGTAAAGAAGAAATCCCTAAATGTACGAAAACACACATCTCCACCTCCCCATCCACAAGCCTGCCAGACCCTATATTTCCCCAAAATATCTCAATTTTCCTCTGCAACGCTTTTCAAAATAGTGATGGAAGTGATAACGCTCTCCCTTTGGTGTTCTTGGGTTGCTCAGAGGAAGTGAAGAATTCAAATATGATCAATATGAGTATCTACCTTCCCTCCTTTTTCTTTCTTTACCCTTCCTTCCTTCTTTCCTTCCTTCCCTCCCTCCCGCCTTCCTTCCTTCCCTTTATATTCCTCCTTTCCTTTATCTTCCCTCCGTTTTCTTTCTTTACCCTTCCTTCCCTCCCACCCTCCTTCCCTTCATACCTTTCCCCTTTATCTTCTTTCCTTCCCTCCTTTTTCTTTCCTTCCCATTCCTTCCTTCCCTCCCTCAATATGTTTCCCCTTTCCTTTATCTTCCTTCCTTCCCTCCTTTTTCTCTTTCCCCTTCTTTCCCTCCCTCAATACGTTTCCCCTTTCCCTTTATCTTCCTTCCTTCCCTTCTTTTTCCCTTCCTTCCTTCCTCCCTCCTCTTTCCCCCTTTCCTTTCTTCCTTTCCTTCCCTTCTTTTTCTTTCCCTTTCCCCTTCCTTCCTTCCCTTCCTCTATTTTCCCCTTTCCCTTATCTTCCTTCCTCCTTCTTTTTTTCTTTCCCCTTACTTCCCTCAATACATTCCCTCTTTTCCTTTATCTTTCTTCCCCCTCTCCTGTTCGTTCCTTCCTTCCTTCCTTCTTCCTTCTCTTTCCTTTCCTTTATTTTTCCTTCCTTCCCTCCTTTTTCTTCTTTCTTTCCCCCCTTTTTTTCCCTTCCTTCCTTTCCCTCCCTCAATACTTTCCCCTTTCCTTTATCTTCCTTCCTCCTTTTTCTTTCTTTTTCCCTTCCTTCCTTCCCTCCCTCAATATTTCCCCTTTCCTTTATCTTCCTTCCTCCCTCTTTTTCTTTCTTTTTCCTTTCCTTCCCTTCTTCCCTTCCTCTCTCTCCATACATTTCCTCTTTCCTTTATTTTCCTTCCCTCCCTCAATACATTTACCCTTTCCTTTATTTTCCTTCCTTCCCTCCTTTTTCTTTCTTTCCCCTTCATTCCTTCCCTCCCTCCCTCAATACATTTCCCCTTTCCTTTATTTTCCTTCCTTCTCACCTTTTTCTTTCTTTCCCTTCCTTCCTTCCTTCCTTCCTTCCTTCCTTCCTTCATACATTCCCCCTTTCCTTTATCTTCCTTCCCTCCTTTTTTTTCTTTCTTTCTCCTTCCTTCCTTCCCTCCCTCCCTACATTTCCCCTTTCCTTTATCTTCCTTCCTTCCCTCCCTCCCTCAATACATTTCCCCTTTCATTATTATTTCACTATTGATGATTTTTATGACAGAACCAATTAGGAACTGCCATTTATAATGAAATTTTGAAAGTTTTGTTAGAGTTCTAAAATTTTCACCACCAGAACTTTAGCAACACTGTAGAAGCAAAGCACCAGCGCCTCCTAGTTTTCACCACCAGAACTTTAGTTTTGTAAGTACTTCAGAACCATTTAGAACCATGGATTGTACATGCCTAGTAGCTAGGCAGGAGTGCAGGCTATTGCACCCTTCCAAGATTTTGGACTACAGCATCCATCAGTTGAAGTCAAGGGTAAGTAAAACTGCTCGAAATATATGAAGACCAAAGGACTTGTGTACAGCATTCTCCATCCCAAGTTGCTGGGTTTGGAACATTCCCTTTAGGGCTCAAGACCATCTCGAGCAAAGAGAATGAGGGACCAAAAGGAGAAGCCCACTACTAACCTGATATCCTTGGAAGAAGCTGAGGATCTCCTTCATGCCGGCGTTGTAAGGCAACCCTTGCATCCGAACCAGTGCACCAGGCTGGGTCAGCATCGGAGTGTGCGAAGCCGAGGCAGCGGCCGCAACAGCTGCTTGCGGGGCTGCGATGTACCCCACTGTGGTTGGCGACACCGGAGGGCTGGAAGAGAAGCAAAAGGAGCTTTGTACCAAAAGGACACATCCAGAGGTTGTGCATTTGCAGGAATTCCTATCTAGACTATCGGAACAGTGCAACTTTCATGTATCATGTTCTGCAGTTGATGGTTGTTGGTGGTGGCAGGCCTAGCAGTTGGTGATGGAAAGGTTAATGTAAGTCTTACTTCTAAAGGACTGAGTAATCTGTACGTAAGAGTTCATGGCTGAAAGCAATTAAGGGTGGAGGTATGCAAGAGTATGCATTGCAGTTGCGTGTTTCTGGATATAATGAGCTAGCCTTGGGACTGATCTTCAGGAGAAAAGTATTTGTTTTATCTTGGTGGTAGATGCTGCTGGTTTTTCCCCAGGTTTGTGGATTTTCAGTATCTTGACCTGTCTCCCGTGCTCTTGGAACCCTGGAACCTTGAATCTCTGGACTGACTTTTGACTATGGTATAGACTCTTAATCCCTGGACTTTTCTCATTGAACACTTGGCATCTGACCACTGGACTGGACCTTTTGACTACGGTGTTATCTTGAACCGGCAACACTGTTTGCTGACAGTTTTTGTTTTATATTCTGTGGCTGAGTGCTATCTTTATGTTTTACGTTTAGGACTATTAAAACAGCCAGAAAGTAAGTAGTGTTTTAATTAAACTGTTTGATACAAACTGGGTGTTTGTTTGATTCACCTCTGCCGGAAAGACGGCAGAGCCCTGGTATCGTGACAGCAACTCAGTTGGTTAAAATAGATGCTTTGTTGGATTTAATATGCTTGGCTTTAGTATACGTTATTATCATCCTTTCTAGTGAGTGACATCTTCTCATGACATGACCAAAGTACAACAGTCTCAGATTGGTCATCTTGGTTTCTTGGATCAGCTGAAGCCTGCTTCTTTGAAATCCACAGTATTTCTAGGAGTTTCCTTCCTCTTCAATTCCTACCAGCTATTTCGCAACCCAGCTTTCACAACCATACTGTTGAGAATCAAGACTGTGTTTTGTGTTTCAGGATCCTGATGAGGGAAATGATGATAGAAATGTTGGTGCCGAGGCTGAGGTACAAAATGGGAGATGGTTTGGTCAATGGTTTTCATGCAGACAACAACAGAGAGGCTGCAGTGCAAAGGGCAGTTTCTCATGAGAATATCCCTGCTGGGCCTAGCAATGACGGTTCACTCGCTCTCTCTGTGAGCTCTCAAGATTTGGGTTTGAAAAACAATCTGACACCTGGGAATGTTAATGAGCAGCCAGATAGGGAGCTGAAAAATAGGCGGCTGGAGATTAGCCAGGATTGACAGCAAACTCGGTGTTTATGTTGCTCTGAAAGGCTTCGTCTGATAAGGGGTAAATGTGGGGGAAAGCGAAACCAATTTCTGAGTTTTGGGATATAAGGTTTGCCTCAAGGGAAAACCTGTTAGATCAGGCACCATTTGGAAATCAAGTTCATGTGCCATGGAAATCCTGTTCAAGGGGTCTTGTTCCTGTGGAGTTTTTTTTTTAAATAGCCTTTTGGATTGTCTTTACATCCTGTTGATTCCTGTCTAGATTAATGCTGTCTTTGATTGCTTTTATCTCTGGTGTGGACATTGCTTTGTGTTATTACTTTTTATGGACTTATTACCTTTTGGAACTTCCTTATTTTCTTACAAGCATTTATTTCTTCTGGCTATTTACCAAGCTTCAATAAAAGAAGATTTGTTTCTTCACTCTTCGTGTGGTGTGTCAGAAGGCTTTTCCTGACCTGGAGTGCAACACATATCTAAAAACGGGGAATACAATGGCGAGAAAAGGAAGACTGCAACCTGAACCATACCTGGGGTAGTAAGCCGTGTAGTTCATATACAGCTGAGCAGCCTGAGTTGGGTAGTAAGCAACAGCTGGAGAGGCAACAGCGGCCGCAGCAGCAGCAGCAGCGGCCGAGGCTTGGTGGGTTCTAGTCTGAGGCAGGAGCGCTTGCGACTGGTAAATGGCGGCGTCTGCTGGGATCACAGCTGCAGCAGTCTGGAAAGCAGCGTAGCCTGGGGGAGAAAGGCCTGCGGATAAAGTAGAAAGGCACATTATTAAGGGAGGAATCCACAAAACCAGTCATCCATTTCTGTATAGCAAAGTTCTGTGCAAGTAAGGGAGGTCATGCATAAGAGTTTCATGCGTTGGAGCACATGTATCCAACTGATGGCCCACAGGCCAAATCTGGCCCTCTGTGTCATTTCACATGATCCTCCTCCTGATGTTGAACTACAATGCATGTATTCCTCATCATTAGACATTGCATTGAAGCGATACTCCTCTGCCATCAACTCCACTGGACAATTGAAGCAATATGTTGTACAAAAATATTGAGCTCCTACTACAGTAGGTCCTCCGCTTTTGTGCGGATTGGGTGAGTCGAACTCATGTGAAAGTGGGAAAACTGTAAATTAAAGTAAAAAGAACACATCTCTATACATTTTTAGGCCCTCTAGTATGACTCTATGGCACAGCTGTGGAACTCATTTTCATTGAGGGCCACATCCTTGATTGCTTTCAAAGGGTGGTTGAACCCATGGATGGAGGATCTGTGGATACAAACTATACTTTTTTGTACATAGTTTTCGGTGCACTTTAGTTTTTGCCCAGATGGGTCCCCAGAAGTTATTGAAGGACAACTCCCATCACTTTTGATTGCAAATGTTGACTACAGAGTCAATAGAAGTTGACTACAGAGCCAATAGAAGTTGACTACAGAGTCAACAGAAAATGACTACAGAACCAATAGAAGTTGACTAGAGTCAAAGTTGACTACAGAGCCAACAGAAGTTGACTAGAGTCAATAGAAGTTGATTACAGAGTCAATAGAGGTTGACTACAGAGTCAATAGAAGTTTACTGAGACAATAGAAGTTGACTACTTAGCTAACGGAAGTTGACTAGAATCAATAGAAGTTGACTACTGAGCCAACAGAAGTTGACTACTTAGCCAATGGAAGTTGACTACTGAACTAATAGAAGTTGACTACTGAGCCAATAGAAGTTGACTACCATCAACAGAAGTTGACTACTGAGCCAATAGAAGTTGACTAGAGAGCCAATAGAGGTTGACTAGAGAGCCAATAGAGGTTGACTACTGAACCAATAGAAGTTGACTACAGAGTCAACGGAAGTTGACTACTGTGCCAATGGAAGTTGACTACTGAGCCAATAGAAGTTGACAACAGTCAACAGAAGTTGACTACAGAGTCAACACAAGTTGACTACTGAGCCAATAGAGGTTGACTACAGAGCCAATAGAAGTTGACCACAGAGTCATGCTGAAGAACTTAGAGAATAAATTGATGCAATCCATGGATAACACTATGTAACACGATTTTTGTTCCTGGGTTATAGATATCATTTTCTAATTGGCTGTATCATTAAAAACATGGCAAAAGTTTAACAAACTACCAAAACTTTGGTTTTGCAGGACAGATATCCTGTTATAGCACGTTTTGCTCTAGTTTTTCAGTACTCATCGAGTCTCAGCCAATTCGACACAGTTTGTAGTAGCCACAAAAACAAAGTTTCCGGAGTAGAACAACTGCTTTTAAAGTAAGTGCCACACAATCGAACAAAGAGTAACACTTTTCAAAACAGGAACAGAAACTTTTTCAAATTTTGTAATCAAATCCACAAACCCACAAACGCGCAAGGCCAACTGTAATAGTTAATTCTATTTCAAAGTCAATGAGCAGTCAAAAACATGCAATCAACTGAACAAGATCATCATAAGTCAAGGTTGACTTGACTGTAGGCAACCACCACAAAATCAACCAAGATTCCTGAAAGGTTTCCAATCATGCGCATTTTGGCCCAGCGCCCATTCCCAGCCCATCTGCAGTGGTGATTTCCGACCCCGAGACCAACCAAGTGGGCAAGGCCCCCGTTGCACCTACCAGTCATGAGCAGCACAGAAGGGAGCGGAAGGACTCTAGAGACTTACATGGTAACTTACATGGCGGCGGAGACAAGCCACTACGGTTTAAAGTGCCACCCATTAAAACAAAATTCATCTCCTCTCCTGAACACTGGAAGACTTCCACGTAACGGTCCTTCATCATCTTCTTGTGACACTTCTGGGCGACCAGGTAAGCGCGGTCGGAAGATTTCATCTGGATGAAGGCGTCTCCAGACGCCCGGCCCTGAATTCAGGCAAAGAGAGAAGGAAACTGAGACCGGTTGTAACTCGATGGGTCACAACAACTTCGGGACAGATCTATTTAAGTGACGTGAAATGGAAAGAGACAGAATGGGGGACACCTGACTCAACAGCAGTACGTGTGAAAAAGATCTTGGAGTCCTCCTGGACTCCAAGTTAAACATGATCCAACAATGTGATACCAATGGGATTTTGGCCTGCATCAATAGGAGCCTAGTGTCTAGATCAGGGGTCCTCAAACTTTTTAAACAGAGGGCCAGGTCACAGTCCCTCAAACTGTTGGAGGGCTGGATTATAATTTGAAAAAAAATTGAATTAATTCCTATGCACACTGTATATATCTTATTTGTGGTGCAAAACCACTTAAAAACTACAATAATTAAAATTAAGTACAATTTGAACAAATATAAACTTATTAGTATTTCAGTCGAAAGTGTGGGTCTGCTTTTGGCTGATGAGTAGGATTGTTGTTGTTATTGTTGTTGTGTGCTCTCAAGTCATTTCAGACTTAGGTTGACCCTGAGCGAGGGCCGGGTAAAAGACCTTGGAGGGCCGCATCTGGCCCCCGGGCCTTAGTTTGAGGACCCCTGGTCTAGATCCAGGGAAGTCTATTCTGCCTTGGTCAGATCACACCTGGAATCACGCTGTGTCCAATTCTGGGCACTGCAATTGAAGGGAGATGTTGACTCTAAGCTGGAATGTGTCCAGAGGAGGGCGACTCAAATGATCAAGGGTCTGGAGAACAAGCCCTATGAGGAGCGGCTTAAAGAGCTGGGCATGTTTAGCCTGAAGAAGAGAAGGATGAGAGGAGACATGGTGAGGGTCATGTACAAAGATGCGAGGTGAAGTCGTGCCCTGGAAACTAGGACACAACACAATGGCTTCTAACTACAGGAAAGGAGATTCCACCTGAACATGAGGAAGAACTTAACTGTGAGAGCTGTTCAGCAGTGGAACTCTCTGCCTTGGAGTGTGGTGGAGACTCCTTCTTTGGGGGCTTTTAAACAGAGGCTGGATGGCCATCTGTTGGGGGTGCTTTGAATGTGATTGTCCTGCTTCTTGGCAGAATGGGGTTGGACTGGTTGCCCAACAGGTCTCTTCCAACTCTATGATTCTAAGGCTTTATTTTTCTCTATTTATTATTGTTATTATTATATTTACATGATTTTGCTCTATTATTATTATTATTATTATTAATTTTACTCTATTTATTATTATTATTCCATTTATTTCATTCTATTATTATTATTTTACTCTATCATTATTATATTTATTATTTTGCTTATTTATTATTGTTATTATTTTACTCTATTTATTATTGTTATTATTACATTTGTTATTTTATTCTATTATTATTACATTTATTATTTTATTCTATTTATTATTGTTATTATTTCATTAATTATTTTACTTTTTATTATTATTACATTTTACTCTATTTATTATTATTGCTACATTTATTATTTTACTCTATTTTTGTTATTATTATATTTATTATGCTACTCTATTTATTATTATTGGAAGCATATGTAAACACATTTACACTGAAGAAGATTAGAATGGTTTAATTAGAATTGGGTAGCCTCATCTTAAATGACAGTTTTATGTAAATATTCAAAAACATTTAGCCTATTGATGCCTCAATTAATATAATTTTATTGGTATCTATTTTTTATTTTGAAATTTACCAGTAGCTGCTGCATTTCCCACCCTTGACTTATACTCGAGTCAACATGTCGTCCCAGTTTTTGTGTGTGGTAAAATTGGGTATATTGGTTTATATTCGGGTCGGCTTATACTCAAATATATATGGTCTTTCTTTCTTTTGTGTCAGGAGTGACTTTAGAAACTGCAAGTTGCTTCTGGTTTGAGAGGATTAGCTGTCTGCCAGGACATTGCCCAGGGGATGCCCAGATGTTTTGCCATCTTTGTGGGACACTTCTCTCATGTCCCTGTATGGGGAGCTGGAGCTGACAGAGGGAGCTCATCCACGCTTTCCCTGGATTCGAACCTGCGACCTGTCGGTCTTCAGTCCTACCGACACAAGGGTTTAACCCATTGCGCCATCGGGGGTTCCAACAAGCATATACAGTTTATAGATTAGTAATTATATAAATAAAAATGTAATGTTCGTTTGTGGGATTAACATAACTCAAAAACCACTGGATGAATTGACACCAAATTTGGACACAAGACACGTTATCAGGCCAACAAACACTGGAAAACACAGGAGAAGGGACTTAAAAAGCCAACTCCCCCAAAATACATTACAACGCATGTGCAAAACCACATATATATACACAAACACACACATATACACACATATATGCATACAAAACACATACACAGAAAGGGGGAAGGAAGGAAGAAAGGAAGGAAGGAAGGAAGGAAGGAGAGAAGGAAGGATAGAGAAGGAAGGAAGGGTAGAGAAGGAAGGAAGGGTAGAGAAGGAAGGAAGGAGAGAAGGAGGGAGAGAAGAAGGGAAAGAAAGGAGGGAAGGAGAGAAAGAAGGAGAGAAAGAAGGGTAGAGAAGGAAGGAAGGAGAGAAGGAGGGAGAGAAAGTGGGAAGAAAGGAGAGAAAGAAGGAAAGAACGAAGGGTAGAGAAGGAAGGAAGGAGAGAAGGAGGGAGGGAAGAAGGGAAAGAAGGAGGGAAGGAGAGAAAGAAGGAAAGAAGTGTAGAGAAGGAAGGAAGGAGAGAAGGAGGGAAAGTGGGAAGGAAGGAGAGAAAGAAGGAAAGAACGAAGGGTAGAGAAGGAAGGAAGGAGAGAAGGAGGGAGGGAAGAAGGGAAAGAAGGAGGGAAGGGGAGAAAGAAGGGTAGAGAAGGAAGGAAAGAGAGAAGGAGAGAAAGTGGGAAAGAAGGACAGAAGGAAGGAAGGAAAGAAGGGTAGAGAAGGAAGGAAGGAGAGAAAGGGGAGAGAAAGAGGGAAAGACGGAGAGAAGGAAAGAAAGAAAGGTAGAGAAGGAAGGAGAGAAGGAAATAAAAAAAGTGAAAGAGGGAAAGAAGAAGAGAAGGAACGAAAGAGAAAAGAGGGAGGGAAGGAAGGAAAGAGACAAGGAAGGATGGAACCAAAGAGCAAAGGGAGGGAGGAAAGAAACAGGTAGAGAAAGAAGAAAGAAGAAGAGAAAGAAAAACAGGAAAGGAAGGAAAGAGGGAAGGAAGGAAGGAGAGAAAGAGGGAGGGAAGGTTGGCCACAGCAACGCGTGGCAAGTATAGCTAGTATAATATATATTACATAAACATTTCTTAGGACTCTGTGGCTGAACTTTTGTGAACTCCTGGCCTAAGATTTGCTCATCATGTTGAGTTTCCCATACTTGTTGGTTCAGGACCATGTGGACTCCGTGAGGCTTGATGTCCCCCGTCGCTTCTCCCATGAACTCCAGGATGTCGTCGATCCCTGCCGTGTAGGGCAAGCCCCTGAGCCGGACACAGTCCCGGGCGCTGCTAGCAGCAATGGTGTAAGGCGGCGGGATCACCGGAATGATCGGCGTGGGGAGAGTGGGAATGAGTGGGGTGGACATGTATCTGTTCAGGACCTGTTGACACAAAGGAAACAGGGATGAGAGTGGCAGCGCTTTCCGGGATAAGGACAACGTACTTAGGAGGTGCCCGATAAATGGCTCGCACTTCTCGTGCTCTCCATTTCTACCTTCAGGGAGACAGGCCCCCAGATGGCAAGCTATAATCACACCACACACCTACTCACACACCTTCGATCTTACAATTCCCAATTATTGTTTCAGTTGCCACAACTTTGGTTTCTCCCAATGGACACAAAGCAGGCAGAAATAATTAGAAACGTCATCCGTTGGGACCTAGTGTTGAAATGGTAATCGTAGAGAATGCGAGAGAGGAAAATAAAGGTGATTGTTTCTTTCGGCAACCTTCTTTGTGTGGATAGTCAAGTCTTTGTACTATCGAAGGCTTTCATAGCCAGAATCACTGGGTTGTTGTGAGTTTTCCAGGCTGTCTGGCTATGTTCCAGAAGCATTCTCTCCTGACATTTCACCCACATCTATGGTAGGCATCCTCAGAGGTTGTGAGGTCTGTTGGAAACTAGGAAAATGGGGTTTATATATCTAGATATCTATCTTACATATCTAGTTTTATTTATTTTTTATTTTATTTATTTATTAATTTTATATACCGCGACTCCCTGAAGGCTTACAATATACATATGTGATACATTACATTTAAAATCAAAGAAAAATTTCAATCAGTAAGATTCAAATGCCAGCCTAAATAAATACAGTATATTCTGGTGTATAAGACTACTTTTTAACCCAAGAAAATCTTCTCAAAAGTCAGGGGTCGTCTTATATGGGGGTGTAGTCTTATGCATGGGAGTCGTCTTAACTCTATATTTTAACTGGAAAAGTTGGAGGTCGTCTTATATGCCCAGTTGTCTTATATTCCGGAATATACGGTAAGTTTTACAAGCTCTACGAAAAGATAGTAAGTCTCGGAGAGCTCGTGTTTCCACTGGCAAGGCATTCCACAGGTAAGGAGCCACCACTGTGAATGCTCTACGCCTAGTAGACATCAGGTGAAAGGTCCTAAAATTGGCGTCGGGGAGGGTCCTATCGGCGTTGGGAAGGGTCTTCCCACAAGCCGAGCAGTTTTTAAAGAATAAAGCCATCTAGACTGAGAGTGGTCAAACAGTCCAAGGTCGGGGCAGGAGAGAATCGTTGTAGTCAGGGCCAAAGTTAATATCCAAGTCAGGCAGAGGAGAGAATATCTGAAGTTGCTGCTGTCGCGCGGAAAAAGGAACTAAAGGTTAAGCCATGCCTTGCCTTCGGGTTTATATATCACGGGAGGGGATGGGCGGGGCTTCTTCAGGGCAAAAAATCATGCTTTTAACTCTAGAATATTCCGAATTTCTGCACAGACGCACAAGGTAAACCCACACGTGCGCATTTCACAGAGGACACGACAAAGAAATACATTAACAGGAAAAAAAGAAAGAAATCAGAATGAAGTTAAGCGCTAAATAATGCAACCTGTTGGACTTCTGCCGCCGTGCTTCTGAACAGCTCAATGTAACGCTTCCCCAGGCTCTCCTTGTGCTTCTTAAGTGCATTCTGTGCAAACTCTTCGCAAGCAAACAGGACAAACGCATCGCCCGTAGGCCGGCCATCTGGATACTTGACAAAGAGGAGCCCGTCTTTCTCTCCGGTCACCGGACATTCGGGTCCCAGGAAGCCCAGGACATCCTCAGGCGTGGCTGTGAAAGGAAGGCCCCGCATCCGGATGATGACTTGGTTCTCCTTGGAGAGGAACTGTGCTACTTCGTTGGAGGTGCCTAGAGGAAGGAGCAAAAGAGTGGCAATCATTGCAAAATCTTTCCAGCTAGCCAAAAGCTTATCTTTGAAATGGATTTATCCCAGTGGTTTATGAAATGCTGCGGAGTCCCCAGTGGTGCAATGGGTTAAACCCTTGTGCCAGCAGGACTGCTGACCAAAAGGTTGGCGATTTGAATTCAGGGAGCGGGGTGAGCTCCTGTCAACTCCAGCTTCTCATGTGCGGACATGAGAGAAGCCTCCCACACAATGATAAAACATCCGGGTGTCCCCTGGGCAACGTCCTTGCAGACCGCCAATTTTTTCACACCAGAAGTGACTTGAAGTTTCTCAAGGCACTCGTGAGTTCCCATCTGTCAGCTCCAGCTTCTCATGCAGGGACATGAGAGAAGCCTCCCACAGGATGGGAAAACATCTGAGCGTTCCCTGGACACTGTCCTTGCAGACAGCCAATTCTCTCACACCAGAAGCTATTTGAAGTTTCTCAAGGCACTTGTGAGCTCCCATCTGTTAGCTCCAGCTTCTCATGCGGGGACATGAGAGAAACTTCCCACAGGATGATAAAACATCCAAGCGTCCCCTGGGCAATGTCCTTGCAGACCGCCAATTCCCTCACACCAGAAGTGACTTGAAGTTTCTTAAGGCACTTGTGAGCTCCCGTCTGTTAGCTTCAGCTTCTCATGCGGGGACATGAGAGAAGCTTCCCACATGATGATAAAACATCCAAGTGTCCCCTGGGCAACGTCCTTGCAGACAGCCAATTCTCTCACACCAGAAGCGACTTGCAGTTTCTCAAGTCGCTCCTGAAACAAGAGAAATAAAATGAAATGCTGCAGCCTTATCGAACGTCAACTTCTGCAAGATTTCATTTACAACAGATCACTTTTGAATTCGTTCAACTCTCACCAGCAAATGTACAGTTACAGTCTGTATACATTTGCTCTAAACTTTTCCTCACCTCCAGCAATCTTCAGAAATTCCTCTCCGGTGGCTTTGTAAACCTGAAGCAAAAACAAGCGGAGTGGGGAAAAATAAACAATTAGTGAAACTAATGACACAATCAAGTCAGAGATTTTATCCCAGTGGTTCCCAAACTCTTTTTGACAAGGGACCACTTTAACCAGGGACCACTCTTCAACATTAGTACCAAAAGGGTTATGAATCCGTTTTGGTCAACTTTAGATTCAGTTTGGTTATTTGGGGCACTGATTCATAAAATTGTATTGGATAGACCACATCAGCTCTAGCTTCTGATACAGAACATATGCCATTCAGTAGTCACCATCTGTTTGCCTATAGAAAACCATATTTAATAAGCTTCAGCACTATAAAAAGGTTTCATTTGCTCTCGTTGCAACGGTATAGTAACGGTGAGGCCGCAGACCATATTTTAGTTCTTATGGACCACTTGTGGTCAATGGACCACAGGTTGGGAACTACTGTTTTAGACCCTCTAGCAAAATGTTGATCTGAGGTTGGGATCAAACAGCTCTAAAGTCATTCTTGGGTTGCAATCCCAACTTCCCTTCAGAGTTGCATAAATATTTACACAAGGGTGTATGCGGCATCAGCAACTCCATGCACAACCGCAGCAGTGTACATGACTTTGATTATTTATACCCCACAGAGTGGCTTCCAAATGGTTAATGCAACAGTTCCCTGCCCTCAGATTTCTAATCTAAGTAAGACACAAGACATAAGACAGAGCAAATGGAAAGGAAGAAGAAGACTATGTCCAACAGAGATTCTAAGCGGAGAAGGGCAGTGGCAGTTGGGATGGAGGGAGGGGTCTTCTCTCTGCCTCTAGGCCTTGGCATGAGACAACAGCACTTGCCTCTTCCTTTCTCTCTCAATGACATCAAGGGAGTGATAGCAGGCATGGAGGGTTTTCCATCTTCTTCTGGGTCTAAGCATGGTGGAGATATGTCCATCTCTTTCTTTGAGAGAAGGGCAGTGGCAGTTGGGACAGAGGGAGGTTATTCTATTAGTATGACAGAACAGCACTTGCCTCTTCTTTTCTCCCTCACTGAGGTCAGGGAGATGGAAACTGGCATGGAGAGCTTTCCATCTTCTGGATCTAAGCATGGTGGAGATGTGAGATGTGTCTATCTCTTCCTTTGAGAGAAGGGCAGTGGCAGTTGGGATGGAGGGAGTATCTTCTATTGGCATGACAGAACAGCACTTGCCTCTTTTCTCTCTCACTGTCAGGGAGGTGGCAACTGGCATGGGGGGCTTTCCATCTTCTTCTGTTTCTAAGCATGCTGGAGATATGTCCACCTCTTCCTTCGAGAGAAGGGCAGTTGCTGTTGTAATGGAGGGAGTATTTTCTATTGGCATGACAGAACAGCACTTGCCTCTTTTTTTCTCTCTCACTGAGGTCAGGGAGGTGCCAACTGGCATGGAGGACTTTCCATCTTCTTCTGGATCTATGCATGGTGGAGATGTGCCCACCTCTTCCTTCAAGAAAAGAGCAGTGGCTGTTGGAATGGAGGGAGTATTTTCTATTGGCATGACAGAACATCGCTTGCCTCTTTTCTCTCTCACTGAGGCCAGGGAGGTGGCAACTGGCATGGAGGGCTTTCCAACTTCTTCTGGATCTAAGCATGGTGGAGATGTGCCCACCTCTTCCTTCAAGAAAAGAGCAGTGGCTGTTGGAATGGAGGGAGTATCTTCCACTGGCCTGAGAAAACAGCACTTCCCTCTTCTTTTCTTTCTCACTGAGATGGCAACTGGTATGGAGGGCTTTCCATCTTCTTCTGGATCTAAGCATGGTGGAGATGTGTCTACTGCTTTCTTCGATAGAAGGGCAGTGGCAGTTGGGATGGATGAAAGGTCTTCTATCTGCTTGTGGGCCTTGGCATGACAGAATAGTACTTGCCTCTTCTTTTCTCTCTCACTGGGGTCAGAGAGGTTGCAGTTGGGATGGAGGACTTTCCATCTGCTTCTGGGCCTTACCATCATGAAGCCGTGCCTGCCTCTTCTTCTCTTCCTCCAACACCAGGAATGAATTATGGGCCATTTCACAAGTCAGTGCTGAGACATGGCAATGACAGAGTGACAGAGCGCTCTTCTTCAATACACAATGCAGTAACTGCAATGCTCAAAGCTGATGTATCCACAACTCCACTTACACACTGCACATAAGTCTGCATGCATACAGAGACAGGTGTGTGAGTGACAATGGCTGAAATTTAATCTCTCAATATTAACTGCATTACTTATATTCCTAGTACTCATTCCCCACCTTTCTCAGTCCAGTCTCACAAAAGAGCAATATCTGACAACATTAAAAACCGAGTCCAAACAACCTACCTCAATGTATCTACTCCCCATGTGGTGCTTATGCCGTTCCAGGGCTAAGTCTCTCTGTTCGGAGTTGACAAATCGGACCAAGGCCTCCCCGTTTCTCCTTCCTTGAGCATTCAGACACAGGGCCACTCCACCTCTATGGGGAAAGGGAAACAGACATATCCCAAGGAGATGAACTAGGATGGATCAGACTCCATACTTTAGGAAAGATATCTTCTGAACTACTTTTCAAACAGATAGTTATTTCAGTTTTAAAAAAAGAAAGGAAGAAAAGATGGGGGGAAATTCACCAAATGTTCCACAATCTCTCCAGTTCCTATATATAGGATGTCCTACATTTTTTGTTAACAATATTCCAAAATATTGAAATCCATAAAAATGAATAGAAAAATTAAAGGTTCTTTTCTGATCAAACCGGTCTTCTTTGGATATGCTTATAGTTAATATTTTAATTATAAAATATTATAGTCAGCTGCATTAAGATCACTACTGACCGAAAGGTTATGAGTTCGAAGCCAGCTTGGGTCGGAGTGAGTTTCCGACCAAATTCGTGTAGCTTGCTGTCGACCTTTGCAGCCAGTTGCATCTGTCAAGTAGGAAATTTAAGTACCGCTTATGCAGGGAGGCTAATTTACAATGCCATAAAAATCTCCAGCAAGCATGCAAAGAATGAGGAAGTACTTCATCAGTGTCACAAATGGACGGTGAAGCGACAGCTCCTCTAGTGGCCAGAGTACCCCCATGAAAAAAAAGCTGGAATGTTAAATAACCTCTGAGTGTCTGTCTATATATGTTGTGTGTCTATGGCATTGAATGTTTGCCATGTATATGTACTTTGTAATCCACCCTGAGTCCCCTGCAGGGTGAGAAGGTTGGAATATAAATACTGTAAATAATAAATAAATAAATATTTTTGATTTGTCATAATGTATTTTGAGTCCTGCATATATATTAAACTGTTCCAAAACTAGTAACCTAAATAATGTCCTAAATATGGCTTTGGAATTGATAAAACTAATAAAATATCATCTGCAAATAAATTTATTTTATGCTCTGTTTTTTATGTTTATGTTTTGTAGTTCACTATTTTTCCTTATTAATTCTGCTAGTGGTTCTATCATTGGAGCAAAAAGGATTCGAGAAAGTGGGAACCCTGGTTGGCTTCCTCTAGAGCAGGTATGGGCAAACTTCAGCCCTCCAGGTGTTTTGGACTTCAACTCCCACAATTCCTAATAGGCTCAGGCCCTTTCCTTTCCCACCTTCAGCTGCTTAGGCAGCAACACAAGTAATGCTAGGATGGAAAGGACAAAGGATATAGGAACTTTAAAATGATATGAATATTTATCAGATTATATGCTTCCAAGATAACATCACTGAAAAGAGAATTAAATATACGAATGGACATCCTAAGGAGAACTTGGAGTCAAAATGGAAAGGGCTGACAGCCAAGGTAACAGGGAAAGGGAAATATAAAGAATTGAATCAGACAACCTTCATGATCGAATGAATAAAATAATGCAGAGGCACAACTGCTCCTGGAGGGAGGACGAAGGGGAAAAAATGGATATATTTATTTATTTACTGTATTTATATTCCGCCCTTCTCACCACGCAGGGGACTCAGGGCAGATTACAATGTACATATACATGGCAAACATTCAATGCCATGGACAGACAACATATATAGATAGACACTCAGAGGCTATTTAACATTCCAGCTTATTTCTTGAGGGTATTCTGGCCACGAGGGGAGCTGTCACTTCACCGTCCATTTGTGACACTGATGAAGTACTTCCTTATTCTTTGCATGCTTGCTGGAAATTTTTATGGCCTTATAAATTAGTTAAATTAGCCTCCCCACATAAGTGGTACCTAAATTTTCTACTTGACAGATATAAATTCTTTCGGGCTGCAAAGGTAGACAGCAAGCTACACAAATTGGTTGGAAGCTCACTCCGACCTGGACTGGCTTTGAACTCATGACCTTTAGGTCAGTAGTGATTGTAATGCAGCTGACTCCCAGCCAGCTGTGCCACAGTCACGGTATATTAGAAGTAAATAAGTATACAAGTGTAAAGGATAGGAAAACCAAAATTATCAGAATGTCCTAAGAATATATGGAATTTCTTTTTGTAAAGGTAACTGTGACAATGTTATGATTTACTTATGTAACTACCCACACACCCACACACACATATATAATAGGGATGTGTGAATCCGTTCTATTTTAGTTCTGTTCATTTTGAATTTCGGGTGCTTATCCATTCTGTTTTTGGGAAGATTTTGGGAGATTAGGAGAGGAGCCGCTCGGATTCGTAATTCGGAATCCTGTTTGTAATTCTTAATTTGGAACCATTCGTAATTTGGAACAAATTCGGAATTCAGAACCCTTTTCGTAATTTGGAATGGATTTGGAATTTGGAATCATTTTTAGGAAGAAAACAGAATGGGAGGAGGGACGATGACACACCTGAAATTTGAAATGAAAACAGAACGGATTACATAAGCTTAATACGCTTAATACAATGCAAACAAAGTGTGAGATGACGCTAGATCCTGAATGTGAAATTACATCACACTTACTTGGCAATATTAAGGCCTTTGAAAAAACGAGCAATGTCCTGGTCAGAAGACTGCCAAGGGAGACCTCGAGCTCGTATTACCGTTTCACTATCCACTGTTTCCGATTTACTACTGAAAGAAAGAATGATAGATTAAATCAATAATTGATTCAAGGGCTCCATAGTTATTCTTCTTAATTATACTTATATCATGGCTACATAGCAATATATCCATTGATTATGAGATATGGCGTATACATCTATAACATTGATCAATCAAGGATGAGGTGGAAATCCATAGGTCTCATCTGAAGCAAGTGCCAATCATCAGCCCAGATGTCATTAACGCACAACCAATTGCGCCCTCCCAGAGCCCGTTCAGCCCCATGGAAAACACACACAGCCAAAGGCACCCCAAGAAGAGTGAGGAGGAGCAGCATCAACCACATGGTCTCCAATGGCCTGCAAGGGAGACGACTTCCAAGAAAATCAGAAAGCCACACCAGGCCACCCCACCGACTAGCCATCGCTCCCACTATGGTTGCCACACAAGTGTAAATAAACCACACACCACAATCCACATTTAAGGAGCATGCCCCAAACCTTATGCCAAGGCAAGGAACTTTTCGTTGCTTACATTACTTCCAATTGCAGTTAGCAACACACAGTTTACAGTAAAATTGCTTCTTTTTTCCCCCATCCCTCTGAACTGAAAAACAAGAATATAGGACATCCTATCAGATATTTCATTGGTGATACATGGGTTGCTAGCTCATCTAAGACCAGTGGTTCACAATCTTCCTCATGTTGTGATGACCCACAACCATAAATTATTTTCATTGCTACTTCATAACTGTCATTTTGCTACTGTTAGGAATCGTAATATAAATATCTGATCTGCATTCCCTGGACCAAATTTGGCACAAATATCCGATACCCAAATTTGAATACGACTGGGGTTGGGGGAGACTGATTTTGTCATTTCGGAGTTGTGGTTGCTGGGATTTATAGTTCACCTACAATCAAAGAGCATTCTGAACTCCACAAACAATAGAATTTAACCAAATTTGGCACACAGAACTCCCATGACCAACAGAAAATACTGGAAGGTTTTCCTATCCTTTACACTTGTATACTTATTTACTTCTAATATACCTTGAGTTTGGGAGTTGTAGTTCACCTACTTCCAGGGAGCATTATGGATTCAAGCAATGATGGATCTGATGGACCAAACTTGGCACAAATTCTCAATATGCCCAAATGTGAACACTGGTGGAGTTTGGAGAAAATAGACCTTGATATTTGGGAGTTGCAGTTGCTGGGATTTATAGTTCACCTACAATCAAAGAGCATTCTGAACTCCACCAACGATGGAATTGAACTAACTTGGCACACAGAACTCCCATGACTAACAGAAAATACTGTAAGGGTTTGGTGGGCATTGACCTTAAGTTTTGGAGTTGTAGTTTACCTACATCCAGAGACCGCTGTGGACTCAAACAAAGATAGAGCTGGGCCAAACTTGGAACGAATACTCAATATGGCCAAATGTGAACAATGGTGGAGTTTGGGGGAAATAGATCTTGACATTTGGGGATTGTAGTTTCTGGGATTTATAGTTCACCTACAGTCAAAGAGCATTCAGAACCCCACAAACAATAGAATTGGGCCAAACATCCCACATAGAATCCCGATGCCTTGAAGGTACTCGCTAGAGCAAGCCTCCCTCCAGCCTCACATGCTCTCCCTCTCTTGCACATGCGCACCATGCTGCCATGCGCTAAGCATGCCTGCTCTCCCCTTCCCACTTGGGAATCTCAGAAACAAAAGCAAAACAAGACCCTACACCAGTGTTTCTCAACCTGGGGGTCGGGACTCCTGGAGGGGTTGCGAAGGTGTCACAGGGGTCGCCAAAGACCATCAGAAAACACAGTATTTTCTGTTGGTCATGGGGGTCTCTGTGTGGGAAGTTTGGCCCAATTCTATCATGGTTGGGGTTCAGAATGATCCCTGATTGTAGGTGAACTATAAATCCCAGCAAGTACAACTCCCAAATCTCAAGGTCTAATTTCCCAAAACCCCACAAGTGTTCACGTTTGGGCATATGGAGTATCTGTGCCAAGTTTGGTCCAGATCCATCATTGTTGGAGTCTAGAGTGCTCTCTGGATATAGGCGAACTTCAAGTCCCAAACTCAAGGTCAATGCCCATCAAACCCTTCCAGTATTTTCTGTTGGTCATGGGAGTTCTGTGTGCCAAGTTTGGTTCAATTCCATTGTTGGTGGGGTTCAGAATGCTCTTTGTTTACAGGTTAACTATACATCCCAGCAACTACAACTCCCAAATGGCAAAATCAATCCCCCCGCCAAATTTGGGCATTCTGGGTATTTGTGCCAAATTTGCTCCAGTGAATGAAAATACATCCTGCAGATCATTATTTACATGGCGATTCATAATGTTAGGGTTATGGTTGGGGGTCACCACAACATGAGGAACTGTATTAAGGGGTCGCGGCATTAGGAAGGTTGAGAACCACTGCCCTACACACTACCCGGAAACAATATTTTTTGGCTCATAAATCCAATCATATTTCTGCTCATAATAACTTCCTGAAACACTCTTTGATGCACAGTATTTGCCCTCACTTGTAAGGATGGAATAATGAGTATTTACGCCCTGAGTAAGAATGCCGCCACCGGTGTTATCTAACTGTTTTGATTATTGTGCCAACTTTGCATCAAAGCAGCAGGAGCTCAATGGCTACATTTACGTGAACCTTTCCCAAACAGGTAGCCACCCAGTTATCCACACATCCCCAGTCACTGGCCATACTGGTTGGGGATGATGGCGGGCAAGGCTATGGGGGTTATGATCCAGCATATCTGGAGGGCACCAACTTGGGGAAGAATCATCTGACCCAACATAAGATATTTATCATACGAGGAAAGTGAATCCACAGTCATGGATTCATGCAAAGCTTAGGTGTGGTCCATTGTGATTCCATTTCTTATAGGTAGTACTATATATATCAGGCATGGTGTTTTGGACTTCAACTCCCACAATTTCTAACAGCCTGGCTGCTTCCTGCCTGGGGGAATCCTTTGTTGGGAGGTGTAACCTGACCCTGATTGTTTCCAGTCTGGAATTCCCCTGTTTTCTGAGTGTTGGTCTTTATTTAATGTCCTGATTTTAGCATTTTTTTAAATACTAGTAGCCAGATTTTGTTCATTTTCATGGTTCCTTCCTTTCTGTTGAAACTGTCCCCTTGCTTGTGGATTTCAATGCCTTTGCTGTCTGACATGGTGGTTGTTAGAGTGGTCCAGCATTTATGTATTCTCAAATAATATGCTGTGTCCAGGTTCCCGGAAAACTCACAGCAACCCAGTGATTCTGGTAATGACAATACACGGAACATCTCTACAGGGGGAAATTGTTCCAAGACATACGGAGATTGGAAAGACTAAGGACCGGGATTGTGGCGCAGCTGGCTGAGTGTCAGCTGCATTAAGAACACTCTGACCAAAAGGTCATGAGTTTGAAGCCAGCCCGGGTTGGAGTGGGTTTCCAACCAACTGTGTGTAGCCTGTTGTCGACCTTTGTAATCCGAAAGATAGTTGCATCTGTCAAGTAGGAAAATAAGGTACCACCTTTAAGTGTGGGGAGGCTAAATTAACTGATTTATGAGGCCATAAAGAAGACTCCAGCAAAGCATTCCAGCGGGGAAGCATGCGGGGAATGCAGAAGTGCTTAATCAGCGTCGCAGATGGACAATGAAAGCGACAGCTCCCCTGGTGGCCAAGAAAAAGTTAAATAGCCTCTGTGTATGTCTGTATATGTTTGTATGTCAAAAATTGGCACTGAATGTTTGCCATATCTGTGTACACTGTAATCCACCCTGAATCCCCTGCGGGGTGAGAAGGGCGGAATATAAAAGCTGTAAAAGCTGTAAATAAGGACCAGGAAAGCACATCTACTGTGCTCACCGACTTTCCTTCTACACTGCAGAGACACAGATACTATCCCAAAATTGGTCGCAACCAAAAGGACTTTCAAATACATACACACACAGATATTATAGGGGTGTGCAAATCTATCCAGTTTTAGTTCGAGTGCTTGCGCATTATGTTTTCAGAAAGATTCTGGGAGATTAGGAAGGGGGCCATGACGATTCGTAAATCAGAAACCTTTTCATAATTTCGTAATTTGTAATTCGTAATTTGTAATTCGGAACAGATTTGTAATTCAGAACTATTTCAGGAAGAAAATGGTTCCGAATTATTGTGGGGACGATGACAACACACCCAAAATTTGAAACTAAAAAAGAGCAAAAACAGAACAGATTATGTGTCGGTTCACGTACCCTTAATACAATGCAAACAAAGTGTGAGATTGACTCTGCATGGATCACAGGCTCACTGGTCTTGACCTAAATAGCCCTAACCGGTTCCAGGTCAGCTTACTTGTCGGAACATATCTCCCTCTATGACCCTCCTCGAAGTTTACGATTGATGGGGAAGACCCTGCTCTTGATCCCACCACCCTCACAAGTGTGATTGGCGGGGACTAGAGACAGGGCCTTCTCGGTGGTGGCCCCCCGTCTGTGGAATGCACTCCCCAGTGAAATCAGGGTGACTCCTTCTCTCCTCTCCTTCAGGTTGAAACTCAAATCTTGGCTTTGGGACCAAGCATTTGGGCAGCTGGCTGAGCAACAACTGTAATGACTTGTGAGAATTGCCAATTAAGAGACCTTGGACTGGAACTCTGGACTATGATTTGGATTTGCGGACTCAGATTTGGTTGTGTTAATATTTTAAGGGCCAATATTTTAAATATATTTTATTGCTTTTTTAAATGTATTTTTGTTGTTGACATGTTTATGTTGATTGTTGTGCTCTATGGTTTCTTTGTTGGCATCTAATGACTACCAATTGTAAGTTGTCCTGAGTCCCCCTTCGGGGGTTGAGAAGGACGGGATACAAATGCTCTAAATAAAATAAAATAAAATAAAATAAAATAAAATAAATAATATTTACGACCATCTGGGTACAGAAAACACACAGCAATCTAGTGATTTTGGCCATAAAGCCTTCAACAACACTTTAATGTTGATTCTTTTATGTTAAGCCACTTTGAGTCCCCTTCGAGAGAGATAAAATAGGGTAATAATAATAATAATAATAATAATCATCATCATCCCAGGTGACAGCAGGATTGAAGAGAAACAACTGGAAAAGCTGACACGATATGAGGATTTAAAGATCGAACTGCAAACACTCTGGCACAAACCAGTAAAAAGTGGTCCCAGTGGTGATTGGCACACTGGGTGCAGTGCCTAAAGACCTTGGCCTGCACTTAAAGACAATCGGTGCTGCCAGCTGCAAAAGGCCACCCTACATGGATCTGCACACATTATTGATCAATACATCACACAGTCCTAGACACTTGGGATGTGTCCGACATGTGATTCAAATACAACAGCCAGCAGAGTGTCTGCTGTGGACTCATCTTGTTGTGTTTCAAATAATGATGATAATAATAATAATAATAATAATAATAATAATAATAATAATAATAATGGGAGTTAGCTTCTTGGGACAAAACCTGGCCAAAGGAATGCAAAACAGTTATGAGGACAGAAGACCCAGTATTTGTTGTCTTGCTTTCTATCTGAATATTGCACCTACCTTATGCAACCCATTCCCACATTCTCTGCCATCCCAAAGATTAAAACTGGGTTCATGAATCACTTCGTTATCTGGGCTGAAGGGAGGCAGAACTTATGAGAAAACCATCCCAATGAGGCACTTACCAGGGTCCCGTTTCATACTTGTCTTTCACAGTTTCAGGGGCTGTAAACAGGTGATTTGCAACTGATGGGAACACAGAAAAGGTCAAATGTAGATGCAGAGAAAAGCAAAAAGCAGCAGAAAGACATTTCTGAGCAAGACAAAAGGGCATAAACGTAGTGGGTCCAGGAAAATGTCTTTTTGACTTACTGCATGAATCTGGGAACATGCTGAAAATAATGGCCACCATGGCTTTCACTTGCCACACTCCAAAATCTTCTTCCGTTTCATCTATGCCATAGCCTATATCTGGAGGTTAGGTTCAGGAATAAACAGTGAGGGGTTTCAGAAATACATACTAAAACTCACTAGTCAATTCCTCTTCAGAAAAATGTATAATGTCACAAAGGATTACCACCTCACCCGCTTCATAGGAAATCTGCTACAAAACAGGAGCTTTTTTGTCGAGTTCCAGGGTCAGAGAAACAGATGGCGAAAACAGAAGAACGGCCTGCCTCAGGGGAGCGTGCTTGCTCCATCCATGTTTAACATATACACAAATGATCAGCCCCTGCCAGAAGGGACAGAGAGTTTCATCTATGCTGACGATCATGCCATCACCGCTCAAGCAGGGAGCTTTGAAATAATTGACCAGAAGCTCTCCGCAGCTTTAGGTGCATTTACACCAGAGGCAATTGAAGTGGCCAGTTTCTGGTCAAAGGAAATTTAGCATAATGCCAAGTTTTAATTTTTGTTTGTGGTTTTTATACATTACTAGCTGTACCTGCCATGTGTTGCTGTGGCCAACCTTCCCTCCCTCTTTCTCTCCTTCCTTCGCTATTTTTCTTTCCTTTTCTCGTTCCTTTTTTTTTTCTTCCCTTTCTTCCCCCCTTTTCTTTCCTTTCCTCTCCTCTACCTATTCTTGGACTGCAACTTCCAGCAGTCCTCCTGATCGATCGATCTACCTACCTACCTACCTACCTACCTACCTATCTCTATCTAATCTATCTATCTGGAGGATTGTTGGGAGTTGCAGCCCAGGAATAGGAAATTGGACATATTCAGGGATTGGGATGCTCTCAAAGAAATCCAAGGAGAAGCAAGCTTGCATCTTGGAAGCAATGCATTTGGATCATCCTCCTCTCCTAAAGGGCCTGATCTAGGGTTGCTGGGAGTTGTAGTCCAGAAGAGAGTGTGGACATGCTATTGTGTGTTTTGTTTGCTGGGGGAGTAATTTTTACACATGTGCTGTAGCGTCATTTTGCTTCTTTGGCTTTTTAAGTCCCTTCCACTATGTTTTTCACTGTTTTTATGAGTGATGGTCACTCATTGGCCTGATAAGTGTATTGTGTCCAAATTTGGTGTCAATTCGTCGAGTGGTTTTTGAGTTATGTTCATCCCACAAACTAACATTACATTTTTATTTATATAGACTAGCCATCCCCTGCCACGCATTGCTGTGGCCCACATGGGGGTTCTGTGTGGGAGGTTTGGCCCAATTCTATCGTTGGTGGGGTTCAGAATGCTCTGTGATTGTAGGTGAACTATAAATCCCAGCAACTACAACTCCCAAATGTCAAGATTCTATTTTCCCCAAACTCCACCAGTATTCACATTTGGGCATATTGAGTATTCGTGTAGAGTTTGGTCCAGATCCATCATTGTTTGAGTCCACAGTGCTCTCTGGATGTAGGTGAACTACAACTCCAAAACCAAAGGACACTGCCCACCAAACCCTTCCAGTATTTTCTGTTGGTCATGGGAGAACTGTGTGCCAAGTTTGGTTCAATTTCATCGTTGGTGGGGTTCAGAATGCTCTTTGATTGTAGGTTAACTATAAATCCCAGCGACTACAACTCCCAAATGACAAAATCATTTTTTTGAGTGAAGGACATACATTGGGTTGTTAGGTGTCTTGTGTCCAAATTTGGTGTCAATTTGTCGAGTAGTTTTTGAGTTATGTTTATCCCACAAACTAGCACAATTCAAGGTGCTGGTCTTGACCTATAAAACCCTGTACGGTTCCGGTCCAGTGTATCTGTCCGAACGTATCTCCCGCTACGTCCCACCTCGGAGTTTGAGATCATCTGGGGAGGCCCTGCTCTCGACCCCACCACTCTCACAAGTGAGGCTGGTGGGGACGAGGAGCAGGGCTTTCTCAGTGGTGGCCCCTCACCTGTGGAACTCACTCCCCGGGGAAATCAGAGCATCATCATCCCTCCTCTCCTTCAGGAGGAGGGTGAAGACATGGTTATGGGACCAGGCCTTTGGGCAACCAGGCAATTAAATAAGACAATCTGACGAGTAAGACCAGCAGGATTGACGAAATGGAATCAAAAGCAGATCTATGAGACAGCAAACACTGACAGTGTAAGGGAGGAATTGGGTTTGTATTGATTTTATAGATTTTATTGATTTTATTGGAATAATGCATGAACTGTTGGTAATTGTGAATTTATTGTAGTTTGTGATGATTGTTTGTGATGCAGGCATCTAATCGTGCCTTTACTGTGTAAGTTGCCCTGGGTCCCCTTCGGGGTGAGAAGGGCGGGGTAAAAGAACCCCAAATAAATAAATAAATAAATAAATAACATTACATTTTTATTTATATAGATCATTGTATCCTCATTTTGCTTCTGACATGATAAATAAAAATAAATGCCACCCAATTAATAATTATCAAATGGTAATGCTGAAGGTATCTACAGAGGCCACATAGTCCAAACCCTATGAAGAAATGTATTGTCAAAGGTTTCCGTGGCCAGAATCACTGGGTTGTTGTAAGTTTTTCGGGCTGTATGGCCCGGTTCCAGAAGCATTCTCTCCTGATGTTTCGCCTGCATCTATGGCAGGCATCCTCAGAGGTTGTGAGGTCTGTTGGAAACATGGCCATACAGCCCCAAAAACTTGCAACAACCCTATGAAGAAACATGCCAAGATTGAGTCAATTTGAAGGCACATAACAATGACAAACATGGCACTGAGCTTTAAGATCATTCTTTCCAGATTTTCCTTACAAAAAACATATTACCATATTCAGATTAGAATTCAGCAGGGCCATCATTTATTTATTTATTTACTTACTATGTTTGTATACTGTCCCTCCCAACCCGGAGGTGACTTGAGGTAGTTTATCATGGTCCAATCGGTCTCACGCTTACCAATCAGCATCTCCATCCAGAGAGCCAATCCGACTTCAAAGGAAACAAGCAAAAAGGATACATTCTGCCATAGACTGGATAGTCTGGTCCTTCACGGGGGCTGAATTTGGGCAGGACTCATGGAATTCTTTGCGTAGATCATAAAATGAATAAAAACAGTCAGATAGGAGGAGGTTCTGTGAGGAGAAGAAGACAAACATGGTAAGTAGGACGAACAACACACAGAGCAGTGTCAAAAAATCTCATTGAAATCTCCCTGCTTTCTCAACTCCATTGGCTGCTCTTTGATTGTAGGTGAACTATAAATCCCAGCAACTACAACTCCCAAATGACAAAATCAATTTTTTTGAGTGAAGGACATACATTGGGTTGTTAGGTGTCTTATGTCCAAATTTGGTGTCAATTCATCCAGTGGTTTCTGAGTTATGTTAATCCCACCAATGAACATTACATTTTTATTTATATAGATGTGCACACATTTCTAACCACAGCATTCCTTGCCCTCATCTTGAGCACCGTAGGAGGTTGATCAAAAGTCAGGTTCATCAAAAGTATCAATAACTTTCTCCATCCATTAACATGAACATAACAAGTAGGAAAACACCTTTTTGCTCACAGACTCGCAAACCTCATTAGGCGCACTTTAAACTAGGCCCACTGGGGGAGGGGGACAACAGCCTTGCGAACACTACTTTACCCACAATGTCAGGGAACCGCCAGAAGGCTAAACGGAGGGCTGCACAAACACAAAAAGGACCAAGTACCAAAAAGCACAATAATCCCAATTAAACAGCTTAAGGAGCTGGTTTGAATGCAATATTCCTGCTTCTTGGCAGGGGGTTGGACTGGATGGCCCATGAGGTCTCTTCCAACTCTTTGATTCTATGATTCTATGAATGCTAAGATTGATATTTGAGTGGAGAAACAGATGTTTGAGAAATTGAGTTTCTTCAGATATTCCAGACTACAAGTGGCTACCATTTCACCTCTTGGTCTTCAAGAGGTGAAATGGCTTTCAGGACACAATATTCCAAGTGAGATCTGACCAAAGCAGAACAGAGTGACACCAGTACTTCCCTTGATCCAGACACTATGTTCCTGTCGATGTAGTCTGGAAATGTGTTGCCTTTTGGGCCACCCCTAGAATCATAGACTCAAAGAGTTGGAAGAGACCTCATGGGCCATCCAGTCCAATCCCATTCTGCCAAGAAGTAGGAATATTGCATTCAAATCACCCCTGACAGATGGCCATCCATCTTTTAAAAGCTGGAGCCTCCACCACACTCCGGGGCAGAGAGTTCCACTGCTGAACGGCTCTCACAGTCAGGAAGTTCTTCCTCATGTTCAGATGGAATCTCCTTTCTTGTAGTTTGAAGCCATTGCTCCATTGTGTCCTAGTCTCCAGGGCAGCAGAAGACAAGCTTGCTCCCTCCTCCCTGTGACTTCCTCTCACATATTTATACATGGCTATCATGTCTCCTCTCAGCCTCCTCTTCTTCAGGCTAAACATGTCCAGCTCTTTAAGCAGCTCCTCATAGAGCTTGTTCTCCAGACCCTTGATCATTTTAGTGGCCCTCCTCTGGACACATCCAGCTTGTCAATATCTCTCTTGAATTGTGGTGCCCAGAATTGGACACAATATTCCAGGTGTGGTCTAACCAAAGCAGAATAGAGGGGTAGCATGACTTCCCTAGATCTAGACACTATGCTCCTATTGATGCAGGCCAATATCCCATTGGCTTTTTTTGCCGCCACATCACTCCGCTGTTACTCGAACTCCACTGGCTGCCAATTAGCTTCCGAGCACAATTCAAAGTGCTGGTGTTAACCTATAAAGCCCTAAACGACTCCGGCCCTGTTTACCTTTCTGAACGTATTCTCCCCTACGAACCATCAAGATTACTAAGACCGTCTGGAGGGGCCCTGCTCTCGGTCCCGCCGGCCTCACAAGTGTGGCTGGTGGGGACGAGGGACAGGGCCTTCTCGGTAGTGGCCCCGCGACTCTGGAACTCTCTCCCGCCAGAGGTTAGAACTGCCCCAACAATCCTGACATTCAGGAAACAGGTGAAGTCGTGGTTATGGAGACAGGCTTTCGAAGAATGAGACAATGATCTGGATGGAAGACGGTGTATATTCGATTTTAGTATGACGACTGACCACTGTAGTTTTAAATATATGTGCTTTTTTAAATGTTTTATTGTAATGTGTATTTTGATATTTTACCGATTGTATGTGTTTTTATGGTTGGAAACTGGGCTGAGTCCCTCTTATGAGGTGAGAAGCTCGGTATATAAAACTTTGAAATAATAAATTATTGTTGGCTCATGTTTAACTTGTTGTCCACGAGGACTCCAAGATCTTTTTCACACGTACTGCTCTCGAGCCAGGCATCGTCCCCCATTCTGTATCTTTGCATTTCGTTTTTCCTGCCTAAGTGGAGTATCTTGCATTTGTCCCTGTTGAACTTCATTTTGTTAGTTTTGGCCCATCTCTCTAATCTGTCAAGATCGTTTTGAATCCTGCTCCTGTCCTCTGGAGTATTGCCTCTCCCTCCCAATTTGGTGTCGTCTGCAAACTTGATGATCCTGCCTTCTAACCCTTCATCTAAGTCATTAATAAAGATGTTGAACAGGACCGGGCCCAGGACAGAACCCTGCGGCACTCCACTTGTCACTTCTTTCCAGGATGAAGAGGAAGCATTTGTGAGCACCCTCTGGGTTCGTCCATTTAACCAATTACTGATCCACCTCACCGTAGTTTTGCCTAGCCCACATTGGACTAGTTTCCTTGCCAGAAGGTCATGGGGGTCCTTGTCGAAGGCCTTCCTGAAATCCAGGTACGTTGCAAAGACATTCTATTGTCTGAAGTAGTGGACAAGGCATACTTCTTCCCAACATACAATTACCAACCAGAACATCACTCATTTTTTTCTCCTTTTTTTGCCCATGGCAGGGTTATCTCATTGAGATCGCCACCAGGAATCCTGCAAGTTATTTACCTTCTTCGAAGCTTCAGGGTGAAGAACCTGCCGGATGAGTAGCTGGCCATCTGTGCAAAAGGTGTAAGAGCTTTTCCCCAGAGTTTTCAGATCGTTCGATACCAGTTGGCTGAACTGCAGGAATAATAATAATAATAAAAAGTAGTCATATTCACAATTATCATCATCATCATCATCATCAAATACCTCTAAATGTGCAAGTCAGAAATGCAACACACTGAAGAATGTTTACAATACACAAAGAGAACCTCAGCTACTGATAGATTAAAATGCTATTTGGAAAACCTCACGACAATGGTTCCTCACAAGCATTATCATAGGAATAAACCAGTGTTTCTCAACCTTGGGGTCGGGACCCCTGGGGGGGGGGTTGCGATGGGGTGTCGGAGGGGTCACCTAAGACCATCAGGACACACAGTATTTTCTGCTGGTCATGGGAGTTCTGTGTGGGATGTTTGGCCCAATTCTATTGTTGATGGGGTTCAGAATGCTCTCTGATTGTAGGTGAACTATAAATCCCAGCAACTACAACTCCCAAATATCAAGATTTATTTTCCCCAAACTCCAACAGTGTTCACATTTGGGCATATTGAGTATTTGTGCCAAGTTTAGTCCAGATCTATCATTTGAGTCCACAGTGCTTTCTGGAGATAGGTGAACTACAACTCCCTAACTCAAGGCCAATGCTCACCTAACCCTTTCATTATTTTTTGATGGTCATGGGTGTTCTGTGTGCCAAGTTTGGGTCAATTCCATCTCTGGTGGAGTTCAGAATGCTCTTTGATTGTAGGTCCTAGCAGCGACAACTCCCAAGATGCATACAATGAAAATACATCCTGCCTATCAGGTATTTACATGACGATTCATAACAGTAGCAAAATTCCAGTTATGAGTAGCAACGAAAATAATTTTAGGGTTGGGGGTCACTACAACATGAGGAACTGTATTAAGGGGTCGCAGCATTAGAAAGGTTGAGAACAACTGAGGGCCCTTCTCATTTCTTTACCTCCATGTTACTTTATTTCATACTAGCTCGGGTACCCGTGTTACTTGAAAAAGTCAGTTTTTTAAATTGTACAATATGCATAAAGTTGTGGGTGAACTACAGCTCACATCATGCCAGGTAAACCCTGAAAAACTCCCATCAGTACTTAAAGTTTTGTGTGTTGGGCAAATTTGTTCTGGATACATTGTCAGTGAGAAAAATGTATAATATCACAAAGGACTACCACCTCACCCGCCTCATAGGAAACCTGCTACAAAACAGGAGCTTTTTTGTTGAGTTCCAGGGACAGAGAAGCAGATGGCGGAAACAGAAGAACAGCCTGCCTCAGGGGAGCATGCTTGCTCCATCCATGTTCAACATCTACACAAATGACCAGCCACTGCCAGAAGGGACAGAGAGTTTCATCTATGCTGATGATCGTGCCATCACCGCTCAAGCAGGGAGCTTTGAAATGGTTAAACAGAAGCTCTCTGAAGCTCTAGGTGCTCTTACTGCCTATTACAGGGAAAACCAGCTGAACCCAACCCATCTAAAACACAGACATGTGCCTTTCATCTCAAGAATAGACAAGCATCCCGAGCTTCTTCAGATCACCTGGGAAGGAATCCCACTGGAGCATTGCAGGACACCCAAATACCTGGGAGTCACTCTGGACCCCCAAGAAGCACTGCCTGAACATCAAGCAAAAAGTGGGTGCTAGAAACAATATCATACGAAAGCTGACTGGCACAACCTGGGCATCACAACCAGATACAGTGAAGACATCTGCCCTTGCGCTTTGCTACTCTGCTGCTGAGAATGCATGCTCAGTGTAAAACACATCTCATCACGCTATAACAGTGGATGTGGCTCTTATTGAGGCATGCTGCATTATCACAAGGTGTCTGCACCCTACACCACTGGAGAAATTACACTGTTTAGCCGGTATTGCACCACCTGACATCCGCCGGGAAGTAGCAGCCAATAGTGAAAGGACCAAGGCAGTGACATCTCCAGCTCAACCCTTGTTTGGGTATCAGCCAGCATGTCAACGCCTTAAATCAAGAAAAGGTTTTCTAAGAGCTACAGAGACACTCGCTGGAACACCTCAGCAAGCGAGAGTCCAAAAGTGGCATGGAAGGCACTGAACAGACTGCGCTCTGGCACCACGAGATGCAGAGCCAATCTTCAGAAATGGGGCCACAAAGTGGAATCCACGACATGCGAGTGTGGAGAAGAGCAAACCACAGACCACCTGCTGCAATGCAACCTGAGCCCTGCCACATGCACAATGGAGGACTTTCTTGCAGCAACACCAGAGGCACTCCAAGTGGCCAGATACTGGTCAAAGGACATTTAATCAACTACCAAACTCACAAATTTTGTATTTTCTCTGTTTGTTTTGTTCTGTTAGAAATGTAATACAATTGACTTGTTGCCCTGACATGACAAATAAATACTGGAGTTATACTTAAAAATGTACCTGGTCCTACTTACATATGAATCCAACTTAAGAACAAACTTACAGAACTGATCTTGTTGGTAAATTGGGGACTGCCTGTATATAGCTAGTGGTTACGGTTAACCTCTTTGCCTAGGAAATCTGTTTCACCCTCTTTCCAAGGTGACCACTGTGGCAGAAGAGACGACATTTCTCACAGGGGTCATTCCTACAGTCTGTGTGCTACGTAAGGACGCACTTCCTTTCATATGGTCATAATCGGCCACGACGAAAGGCTGCCGAGAACTCTACATCTTCGAAGGCGGCGCTGTTTTGTTTTGTTTCAAGTCTGGCTCTCCAAACTCTTCTTGCGACTCTTAACCCACACGGAACGAATGTATGGGGCAAGAGGAGTGGGGTGTGGAAGGAGAGGCGCCGACTCAGAAACCGGTTCAACGGGATTCTGGGCATTTGCCTGGGAGCAGAAAGAAGCCGCTCAGCTTGTTTTGCTAGTGCTATGTTGGACAACAGCCAGCGTCTGCCCCATCTCCCCCCACTCACCAAAAAAACCAACTCCTAATTGTTGCAGAACATCACACACACACACACACACTCCTTTGACATTTTGGACTTCTAAATCAATGCCGGCTGGGGACAATGTTGAGTATCTCTTATCCAAAACGCTTGGGATCAGAAGTGTTTGGAATTTAGGGTTTTGGGGGTTTACATTTCAATTTCATAACACCTGTTTTTACACATAAGTACTTAATGAGAGACCTTTGAGATGGGAACCAAGTCTAAACACGAAATCCACGTGCTTTGTATGCATCTTACACATATAGACTGACGAAAATGTTGCACACAATATTGGTAATAATTTTGCTTTGTGTCAGTAGAACAAAGCAAAGGATTCATGATCACAGCAACCGACACAAACGATGTCGGGATTTCAGAAAAGGAAAGCTGCACTAAAGACATTAATAATAATAATAATAATAATAATAATAATGGAAAAGATGACACGATAAGAGGATTTAAAGATCAAACTGCAAAGACTCTAGCAAAGACTCTAGCCAGTCAAGGTAGTCCCAGTGGCGATTGGCACACTGGGTGCAGTGCCTAAAGACCTTGGCCTGCACTTAAACACAATCGGCACTGACAAGATTACTATCTGCCAGCTGCAAAAGGCTACATTACTGGGATCTGCATGCATTATTCGCCAATACATCACACAGTCCTAGACACTTGGGAAGTGTCCGACGTGTGATCTAATACAACAGCCAGTAGAGTGTCTGCTGTGGACTCAAGTTTCAAATAATAATAATGATCTTTATGTGTACCCCGCCACCATCTCCCTGACGGGACTCAGAGTGGCTAACATGAGGCCAGGCCCAAAATGACAACAAAACAAATACAAATATCCAGACAGACACCAAGTTTTGTTCCTTCATAAGTGAAATGTAGGTTTGGGTGGGCAAATGTAGCATTGGGTTGGTAAGATCACTGTGGACAATCCTATTCCTTGTTTCCAGATGGACACCAGGTTTTGTTTCTTCATAAGTGAAATGGACCTTTGAGGGGGCAAATGTAGCATTGGGTGGGCAAGATCACTGCGGACAATCCAATTACTTCTATCCAGATGGACACAAGGTTTTGTTTCTTCATAAGTGAAATGGAGAAAGCCACGAAATGGTTCAGAAGAACACCATAATCTCAAAGTGAGATAAAAGTTTTGGAACGCTCTGCACTCCTTAGAAATGGCATGCTGTAATCGTTTTCTGCTTTGTTTTTTTGTTTGAGCCTTATCTACTGGTTAACTAGGCATGAATTGGAGAGTCGCCCGTGTGCCAGGCTACAAAACAGCGGGGAGATTGTGGTGACTTGCACATGGTTGAAGCACTCCATACAATGTCTGAGAAGTAATTGTCATGCAAATGCGAGTGTGTAGCTGCGTGTGCTGGTACATACATGATGAAAGAAAGAAACAACACCGAGGTGGAGGTTAGTATTCAATACCACACATCTCTTTGTCACCATTGTTCAACAACTCAATGTCTCTAAACAAAAAACAAGTGTGATATCTACTAGGTATCTGCGATCCATTAAAAATGGTTCAAAAGTACAGTAGAGTCTCGCTTATCCGACTTTTGCTTATCCAACATTTTGTCTTATCCGATGCTCTTATTTGACATTCCCTTTTTCTTCAGCATTTCCCTTTTAATTAAAGGAGCGCTCTGCAACTCTTCTTCCATTCCCAATAAGTGAAAAAGGCAAAGCAAGGAGGATGAGAGAGGAAAGTGGGAAAAGCGGCAGGACCCCAAGCGGAAACGTCATCCCTCCTTCCCTCTGTGATTTCCACCCTCCTTTTTTGCATCAGGGCACTTCGTACTGGGTCACTCTAGTTCCCGAGTCGTTGCCTTGCCTTAATCCTTTGAGTCTCTGTTAGTATTCTAGATGTCTTGTGTCGTGTCAGATGGGTAACAGTAGGAGACTCTGTTTTTTGAGAGCATCCCAATCCTAGTGTATTTCCAATTTCCTATTCCTGGATTGCAACTCCCAGCAATCGTCCAGATAGATAGATTAGGTAGAGATAGATAGATAGATAGATAGATAGATAGATAGATAGATAGATAGATAGATAGATAGATCAATCAGGAGGACTGCTGGGAGTTGCTGTCCAGGAATAGG